AGATAGAAACATGTTCTAAGAATGCCGAAGACAAAATTGCCCTATCACTATCAGACATGGTATTGGAGACCAACTGGAGAAAGAAAATGTTGCGGCTGCCATCAACGAGAGCGATATCAACGAGATTGTTGACACAAACTCAAAGGCAGGGGATCCTATAATTTATACAGATGGTTCAGTGAAAAGAGATAGCCAGCAAAGTGGATGGGGATTTGTTGCATTCGCCAACAATAAAATCATACACAGTGCATCTGGAGCCTGCAGCAGGGCTACATCAAGTATGCGAATGGAAATTGAAGCCATCACGAAAGCACTTGATTGGATGACCCAAGATCGCCCCCACACAACCCATGCTGTTCTTATCACTGATTCCATGTGTACCCTCAGAAGGATCGAAAAAGGTTTCCTGAGAACGGAATGGATTCAGGCTATCGAACCAACGCCTATACGATCGCTCACATGGATTTTCTACCCTGGCCATGCAGGTGTTAGGGGAAATGAAAAAGCTGACAGATTGGCAGGTGAGGCCACCTTAGTTGACAATATGGTTCAACCAGATAGGGTCGAGATCCTGAAATGTCTTTCTCGCCAACTGATTGAGGAGGAGGATAGGGAGGCAGAGGCCAGTACTGCCGTGGAGAGGATGATGCTTTTGGGAATAAAAAAAGGAAGCGGAAAATCTGGCATCCTTGCAGGAAAGAACAGAAGAACGTTCAACCAGATGTGCACTGGCACAATCAGTAGAGGGACCCTCGGCAACATTTTGGAGAGAGCAACGGAGCATCAATGGACATGTCCGGAGTGCAGGGATGTTGCTTCCTGAAACAAGAACAAGAAAGAAAATGAGGAAGACCAACTGGAAGCTATCGAGGCACAATAAGGGATGAGGGTGCAGTAAGAATTATAAGAATACATGGGATGATAATGAAAACAGTTCATCCATCAATGTCTGGTGATGACCAATTCATATCAGCACAGAAGAATATTTCTTCCCCTTGGGCCTGGATGTGCCAAAATTGGAGAACGTGGCCAGGGTCAGGCAGGCATGGCGTTGACTTCTCACTGCCTTATGTACCTGACAGTATAGGGAGAGAGTAAGTAAATAAGTATGATAGCGTAGTCTTCAGCTGCTGATCTAAAAACTCATTGTACAACTTTGTGTTAAAAAAAAAGGAAGTGCACGTGAGACCTAAGTAGCAATTTTTTTAGACAGTTATGTAAAACAACGGAACAAACACTCAAATGTGTTGAGATTTTGATCTGCAATGCAGCATTTTGTTATTACAGTAGTCTCCGCCTAAGATCCCACCGCTTACGATCCCGGTTCGCTTAAGATCCCGCTGTTTTAAGAAAACAGAATTTTTACTATACAAAAGTCACCCCTAAGATCCCGCTCTGATTTACTCTGAAGGTCTACATTCGGCTAAGATCCTGCATTTCAGATCATAATTTGCGGAAAAAACCCCGGGCGGGACAGCCGATCAACCAAGAGTGAAAATTTGAGATCAATAAATGTCCGTCGCATCAAAGATCAGCCACTATCGTGAATGTGATCACGTACACGTTGTAAAACTCGATGAAGCGATACAATGTTTGCCCCAGACGGGAGCACACCGGGGTGTGAACTGACCGATACGTTTGTTTTCCCCGAACATCTCACTCACACCTGAGCTATCCCCCTAAACTTACATCACTTGCTGGGTGGGTAGGGCCTACACGTTCGCTCCTGGCGGGATCACATTGAACTGTGAACTCTCCCCTGACTATTGGAGAAGTTGTTTCTACTCCCGAATTTGCGAGACAGACTGAATTTTAATTGGTGTGTTCACAACGTAATAGTGTGTAACGACAAAGGCGGTTGGGGGAGATGGAAAGCTATACATTTTCGACAGGTAAGGGGGAGGGGAGGGGAGGGGCAACTTGATAAGCGTAGATCTTGAGCCTCATGATAGGATAATAAGTGAAAATGGCACGCCTCATCCCACTATGCCCTGTGATAGGTCATCAAGGTTAACCACTCTTTGCTCGCCATACGTCATAAATCCACCAAGCGGTCACGTCAGTTCATTTTAGAGTGGAGGGAGACCATTTTACCAATTGTAAGCCTTAACATGGGTCACCATAGATTCTTCCCTGGGTTCGTTGGTTAAGATCCCGGTTCGCCTAAGATCCCGCTTTTCCTTGCTCCCGAGCACCGGGATCTTAGGCGGAGACTACTGTATCTCAGTTACAGGCTTTTTGTAACTAGCCCCATTGGGGTCTAGGAAGAGTGAGGCACATTTAAAATGGGGTGTTGTGCTCTCATTTTTG